ATTTTTTTAATGAACCTTTCCTTTTTCCACTAACAAAAAAGAAAAAAAAAGTACTTTAATGGAAAGGCCGAGATGCAGCATTTGAGGGGGAACACAAAGAAACAAGTAGAATTAAATAGACTTTAGTATCCCAGCCATTATCTTGGCATAAGACGAGCATTGCTGCTCTGTAATGGGAGCAGTCTGGGTGTGGTTAGAGCACTGGGACTTTATAACCAGAGAGAATAAGTAAGGCAGGGAAAAAGGACATGGAGAGGAAAATGAAGTCATAGGACTGAGCCTGAAACCTCAAAGTCAGGAGAGTAAAGGAGGGGAGGGATGAAGGAGGGTGAGGAGGGAGAGAAAAGTGAGTTGTAAAGGAAAGTATCTATTTCAGTGTAGAGGAGTTTTTATTATTTTTTTGGTAGCTTACAGTCCACTCGATTATTTCCACACATGCTTGTCTGGTTTGCAAGCAGAGGGTTTTAAGAGGCAGAGGGAGAGAAAGAGAGGGGATAAAAGAAAAAACAGTCCCCCCTTTGTGCTGTAGTTTCCACTCGGTGTTCCAGATTTGTCTGCAAGTCCTACAAAGCCAAACACAAAGACTGTTTGGACTATTTTTATACTTTTATTTATTTCTTTTTGTCTTTCATAGAATGGTTTCACTCCCCTGCACATTGCCTGCAAGAAAAACAGACTCAAGGTGATGGAGCTGCTTCTGAAGCACGGAGCGTCTATACAAGCTGTCACAGAGGTAAGTGTGTCATTTAAGCACTAAGACATCAATTATCTTTGTGTAGTTTGTTAATTTAGTTGTTGGAGTGGGAAAAGTCTACCTCTACTGCTACTCTGCACCTGTAATCCACTACATTTCAGAGGAAATACTGTAATAGTTGGTCTTCTGCTGATTGATAGCAGACTGACTTTCTTAAAAGTTTGCACATTTGCATTTAATGACCTACAGAAATGTTCTCGTGCTTCTTCGGTGTTTCTTTAATTCATTGACTTTTTTCTTTTCCTCTCTTCTTTGCATTTCCATCTCTAGTCCGGTCTGACGCCGATCCACGTTGCAGCTTTTATGGGACATGAAAACATCGTCCACCAGCTAATCAACCACGGGGCTTCACCAAACACAAGCAACGTGGTGAGTTCAGGAAGTTCGTCATCATCATTACCGTGTGATAAGACGGGGGGCATGAGAGGACATGAGAGGCGCGAGAGGGGGGGAAGCAAAGTGCAATATATTTGCTTATAATATATTTTTAACCACAATATTTGAATATTTCCTCTTTACTGTATAACAGATGAAAATTTTGATCTTTTTGCTTCATTTCATTTAGTTCTCAGCATCTTCAAAAATTGTACAAACCCTATGATTAGCTCATAGCTTCATAAAGCTTAAACCAGTGGTTCCCAAACTGTTTTTGCTAGGCCCCCCTTTGTTTTTACAATAAAATCTTTTATCAAAGCTGATGAGCTCAGAGCTCAGATGGCAAAAACAGAATCAAAATCCATACAGGCACACGGGGGAAAGATGCAGATAAGACTATTTATACACCGAGGGGTGACTGGGGATGAGAAACAGGTGAAGACGATCAATACGGTCAAAAACATAAAGCCGCAAAAGTGACACAAGACATGAAAGAAAACCGACATTTAAAATAAAACAGGAAATATCTCTAAACATAGAGACAAGACTATCAGTGCACATGGCAGACACAGTAGAAGACTGGACAATGAAGGCATAAACAGAGAAAGATGAGACAGGAAGGAGCAGTTAGCGTAATGGTGAGGGAAGCACGCCAGCAGGAAATGACTAACTCATAACAGACACTTAAACTAAGGAACTCAAAACTAAGACTAGAAAGTTTATAAATTTTAAACAGTAATTAGGGCTCAGAGAGTGCAATAAACCTGAGCCTCAGTATCGCTAGAATGAAAACATATCACAACAGGAATCAAAATTCAGCCTACAAAACGCACAAATCAAACCTTCAAAGACCAGAATAGCTTTAGAAAAACCTAAACAGAAACCCAACTCAGATATTTTGACTAAGGATTCAAAAATCAAGAGCAGCACAAAGCCTATGAAACCCTTTAAAAAATCTGAAACAATACCTAAAGCAGCTAATTGCACAGAGAGAGAGAAATGCAAACATAGGAAGTGACTTAACACTAGCTGTTTATCCACAAAATCTAAACCTTAATTGGTGCAGACGGCAGAGAAATCCTCCGTAGGTGGAGAGGAGGTATTTAATGTAATGTGCTCTAATTCTCATCTGGTCCATCGACACTCCTCAGTAGGAGCTACAAACTTTACTACTGACCCCATTATCTCTGGGATGACATGAAAGGAGAAAAAGAGGAGAAAAAAGTAAGCTGAGCCAAAGAGAAAGGCAAGAGCGAGGAAGAAAGAAAGAGGGGAACGAGTAGTGCACAGTCAACTCTTCAACCCCGAGTGTTTGGTCGCCCACGTCGTGTCTGTGGCCAGGTTACCGTAGTAACAGAGCATTATGGCACGTCATTATGGTGAGTTGGGTGTGGAGAGCGAGCGAGGGGGTCTATCTGGCTCTTTCTCTTTGTCAGCCACTCCTTCCCAGTGTACGTCTTCACAAAAAGAAGTTTTTTTCTATGAGGGTGTTTCCAAAGAAAGAGAAACATTCAAAACTTTGGAATAACTATCCATCCCTCGTTTTCTGCGTGTGCTTCAGAGGGGGGAGACGGCACTCCACATGGCAGCGAGGGCGGGACAGTCCAATGTGGTCCGGTATCTGATTCAGAACGGAGCACGAGTCGACGCCAAGGCCAAGGTAGAGCATCACTCTCAATCAGTAACGATTATCTGGTGTTTATATGCGCCTGGGCATTAGAGCCACTAAGTGTGAGCGCAAGTGTGTGTTTGTATGCTTATGTAATGTGTCTTTGCACATGTTTAATTACTGAAAAGTTACAGTCATGGGTCAAAATTATTCAGAAAAACTTTCTGTCAGCTTAATTTATTAAGAAATGCTACCTGGTGTGCATTTCATACATAATAATATCAAGTGAGTCTGTTTTTTATGTGTTGCAGTTCTTTTATGTGAGCAGCTGCAATAATTAACAAATTAGAAAATAATGTTGCCTTATGCTTCACCTGCACACTCTTCATAAATCATTTTTCTTGTTTGTCCTTTTATGCATTTTTGGATACAAATAGGAGTAAAAATTCTAGTTACACGAGGCTGTTTTTTCGCAAGGATCTACAATCTACTCAGAGCTACAAAAGAGCAGTCATGATAAACAGAGTTGCTATTATGTTAGTGTGACTTTGACTCAGCAAATGTGCTGCTAAAGATATCTGGTTATTTACTGGGAAATGTCTTATACAATATATTGAAAGATAATAAGGTTTTGTGAGATGCACAGGCAGTAAGTGCATGTTGAACTGGGCGATTTCCAGCATTGTGGTTCAGTTTACAGTAATGGACTGTGTTGGACTGGTGCAGAGAAGACTGTGGTATCTGTGGTCACTGTGAGCTTAAGTCAAAAGGAGAAGTCATCAGTTCCCAAAATCCACCTTTAAACTGGCCAGCAGATGGAAAGCAGCCATATTAGCGCATACCGCATCTGCTCATGTAGTAGAATTCAGTTTAGTAAATCCAAAAAGAGCAAAAAAAAAACCTCCAGCAGAGCCAGCAGCAACAACACAGGTCAGCTGATCAGAGCCTGTACACAAAGAACAATCTCCTGGAGCTCACAGGACAAATAATGTGACTTCTAATAAGTTATTCATGTCCCTGTCCTGCACTGCTATGAAAAGTAATAGGGTTCCCTGTACCTGTAACAATATGATGATGAAAGAAATTCTTTCCAATAGATCCCAACTGATATATTCCTTGGATAATATTATTAGCCAATATTTGCCTGCTGCAAATATGTAACATGTTGCATGTTATCCACCATGAGCCAATAATAATGTTTGATTTTCTAACATAATTTGTTCACTAGAGCAGCTTCAGATGCTTTGTTTGCAGTCTATCACATGTTTAGTCGAATATATATTACTCCTAAGGGGATGTGGAGGTGAGCAGTGTGTTGCATTTAAAATGCTCAATAGCTTGTGAAGTACATTGCATTAAATTTAAAAATGAGGGATATATTCCAATATATTTGTGCAAATATTTCTTCAATATAAACAATGTGAAAACATAAGAGGGGTCAGTGAAGAGTCTTCAGCTGTGAATCTGTGTCCTTGTTTGCTTTCTCTTGCTTTATGGCAAGTTTCTGCTCATTGTCTTGCTGTTTAAGTTGCAAATGTGTTTTTCGTTTTCTTTTTTGAATGTCACTGCAAAACAACAAAAATGCAGTTGGCGCGTTTAGCAGATGGAGCCAGAGATTTCCTAACATTTGTTAAGTGGGCTGCATCTTGTCCAGAAACATGACTCTAAGGCTACGTTCACACTGCAGGCGAAAGCGCATCAAATCCGATTTTTTTTGACCCTATGTGACCCATATCCAATCATGCTATGACAGTGTGAACGGCGCAAATCCGTTATTTTCAAATCCGATCTGGGTCACTTTCGTATGTGGTACTGAATCTGATACATATCCGATGTTTTAGAAACCGACTGCTGTTTGAACGGTCAGGTCACATTAAATCCGTCTTTTACGTCACCGACACAAGACAGACGCCAATTATCAGCGCCCGAGAAGACATCGCGAACGCTTCCTGGCCATCCGGTGTAGATGTTAGTGAAACTGTTGGGAAGACAACGTTGGAGAAACGTGAACATTTTATTTGTACTGTATAATCTGCAGATTCTGACAGAAATCTGCAACTATCCTTTGAAGCACCGCTCCTCTAAAACAGCAATAAGGATCATTATAAGGTTATTTACATTATTATGTAAATAACAAAATAACTTAAAGCAAAGTCTTTATATTAACGGCCATCTGTCAAACAATACTGTTTGCTCTGGGTCTAAACAGAGCGCGTTGTGTGTGAAGTCTTCTTTTGCGCATTCGGCCGCTTTGAGCGTTCACACTGGAGCGCATTTGCTGTCGCATTTTATTTGTAGTGTGAACGAGCAGACAAAAAAATTGAGCATTAAGACCTGCAGTGTGAACGTAGCCCAAATGTTGGTCCTTTTTAATAATAAAAGGTGTTTTTTGCTTAATTTTTCTATCAGGATGACCAGACTCCTCTGCACATCTCAAGCCGTCTTGGTAAGCAAGATATTGTGCAGCAGCTCCTGGCGAACGGAGCATACCCGGATGCCACGACCAACTCTGGATACACTCCCCTACACCTAGCCGCCAGGGAGGGGCACAGAGATATAGCTGCAACGCTGCTGGACCATGGAGCTAGTCTGGGCATTACTACTAAGGTAAATATGAAACTTGCACATAAACAAAATTATTATTCAAACATATTGTGCAGGCAAACTAGTAAATCGGTACTCACACAGACACTGATGGCTTATATGCTTATACTCATAAACTAGTCCAAAAACTTTAATTCAATCTGCTGAAGACAGAGACGAGGATTTATCCTGTTGCAGATCAGCTAGATTTGCATCCTTGCAGCTGGTAACATGATGGTTGTCCTGTCTCATCCTGGGAAAGCTTGAAAAATGTTAATGTATGAATTCTACAGGGATTTTGCAACATTCTGACTAAGTGAAGTTACATGATTGTGGAATACCAGTTATAGCTGACAGTCTGCCAGTGGAAAAGATGTGTCATAATAAGGTTGTGGACAAAGTAAGAGTATAGAGTCTGAAAATGCTGTTGCTGGAGAAGCCTTTGTCGACTTTTGGCTCAGTTTTCCACGTCAGTTACTCATTTCAAAAGCATCAATTTACGTTTCAGCAGAGCATTTTATGGCCACGTATTTTCAACTCTTTAAAGACAGACCAGGTAATTTTCAGCAATGTCTGGATGAATCAGAAAATTTAGCAACAGGCTTCAAATGTTCGCTTTCTTTTTAAGTTGCTCCGCCCATTAGAAAGTCAACAAAATTCACAACAGCTTTAAAGACTGTGATGCAATTGTAAAACCAGAAGTGTAAGACTTTCTTCTTAGGTTATGTGCATGACATGGTTTTCAAATCTTACCTTGTTTGGAGCTGCAGTAACTTGTACTCAATGTAAAAGACATATGACGCACACATATGTCCCAAATCTCAGTGAGGTTTAATTTAATCGAGTTGCAGTTAAACTCCCATCTCTACATCCCATTAGCTTCCTCCGTCTTTCCATACAAACATCTACAGGCCCGATTCTGAACCATGATCATGGTTTTTGAATCTGTGTTCCCTCACAGCTAAAGAATCTAAATCAAGCACTAAGTTTCTCCACCCTGTGCTGATTTGTGTTTAAGGACCAAGGGGGCAGTTCTCCATGTTGTCATGACATAATCCTGAAAATTGCTCGCTTACTTTATGATTAAACACATGTGGTTCTGTTCGGCTGCCATGTGTAGAAAATGAGTCATGGGAGAAGAAGTACCGTATTTCCCCGACTACAAAGCGCACCTGAATATTAGCCGCACAAGCTAAAATCAGGGGAAAATCCTGTTTTGTACATACATTAGCCGCACCTGACTAAAAGCCGCCGGTGTTTCAATGTTGACTTATCATATGTAAGAGAATATGCACAAAGGGAATTGTCAGGAAAGAGATGGCTGTTTGGAGACACACCCCTTTTATTAATATTTTGAAAAACAAGTTATGGGTACATATTTGCATAACTTTTTAGGTATATGTACAAGTACCGTGTACTGTAAACATGTACTGTGCTTCATAAATGAGTAACAAATGTAGTACATAACAATAACCTACAGCACACCAGAAAAATAGATTCGGACTACCTTTTAGGCTCTTCCTGCACACTAAAACCATCAAAGTCCTCTTCTCCAGTGTCGGATACGAACAGGCTCAGGATGGCTACGTCCTCCACTCTCAGCTTCTTTCCTTCGTTGTCACTTTCAAAACCAAACAAATCCTCGTTGTCAGTGTCAGAGTCGAACACCCTCAGAAGGGCCGTGGCGGTGTCCTCCTCTCCATCATGCAGCAGTCCAGCTCTTCGAAATCCGTTCGTGATCGTGGATGTTTTCACACTTTTCCACGCTGTCAGATTCCACCGGTGGAGTTGAGCATAACTTGCTTTTCGCAAGTTTATCGCCGCTCGTCATCCACGCCTCCCGCTGAACGAGTAGCGCTACTTTGAAGTTTGTTTTTCGCGCTACTTGTACGGCACTATGTTGCCTGGCGGATGGACATGTGACCAACATACCACTCTTTAACCCCGATACTGTGTGTCTAATCACGTGCCCTTCCGCCAGGCAACGTAGTGCCGTACAACAGCGGAACAAACAAAACAAATCGTCTTACGATATGACAAAAATTACGGACAATCCATAGAAAAGCCGCACCTGACTAAAAGCCGCAGGGTTCAAAGCTTGTGCAAAAAGTAGCGGCTTATAGCCCGACAATTACGGTAACTGTATTAAATTAGGTGTAATGTTCCTTTGTGTTTTCCGCAGAAGGGCTTCACTCCTTTGCACGTCGCAGCAAAATATGGGAAAATCGAGGTGGCCAACCTGCTGCTGCAGAAGAACGCTCAGCCTGATGCTGCTGGAAAGGTAATGCATGTTTGTGCATCTGAGAGACACTTATATTGATGTCGCACACATCAGTATCGCCTCAGCTGTCAGCGTGGGTGTAGCTTTCACAATACTTTCCACGTCACCTCTGCTCCAGCTGCTCTCCACGACATGTACGATAAATCACCGTCTAACAATTGTTGTGTATGTGTGTTCAGAGTGGACTAACTCCACTGCATGTAGCAGCACACTATGATAACCAGAAGGTGGCGCTGCTCTTGCTCAACCAGGGAGCCTCACCGCACGCTGCTGCAAAGGTAAGAGTCAATCAAACTGTCAGTGGAGGTCAAATCGAATGTTCCTACAAAGCACTAAAACCCCTCACTTTGGCTCAGGATGAGAGCACACTGACCTAGATTCATCCGGCCAATTACATGCAATTACACTGTGCTCCACATGCTGATTAGATTGCCCTTCCACTCTATCATCATCTATTTTGGTAGAGCTCCTGCTGAAGTCAACAAGGGTCCAATATTTTCTAGTAGAACACTGAAGGGATGCATTTTTTTAACCCTTTAAGGCAAATATCTTCAGGCTCGGGACATAAATGAAGCTTAAAAATATTGCTCTTCACCACTAGGTAGATATTTAGAAGCATATAGCATCTCCAACTTGGCTTCTGCCAACCGTGCTGGCCTGGAGAACCTCTCCACTGGGAATTTTATTGGTTGCAGACAAAAGTTACAAATAAGTTTCTTTACAAATGAAGCAAATCCTCTAAAACTACCGAATATCCATCACTCATGCCCAGTTTCCTTGCTGCATAAGAACAAGGATCAATACAAGTGGTTCCTCTTTCCTCTGGTATATATACATGCTACTTTCTCTTCAATTTGGAAGAGGGAAATAAATAAGATTCTCAGTCTCCTTTTTTGTCCCCCCCCCCGTCATCTTTTTTCTTGTACAGTTAGCATTGTAATTATTACAATTACCAGCCATCATGAAAGGTCAAGAGTGCTACATTAATTCTGTGGAACATTGAACCAGGGTTAGGGTTACAGAGTTTTTGTCTTCTGCAAAGACAAAATGTGACTTACCTCAATTATAAAAGAAAAACTGTAAATTTTCCCGTTCTCTGCTTTCCAGAATGGTTACACTCCACTACATATTGCAGCTAAGAAGAATCAGATGGAGATAACGACCACCTTACTGGAATACAGCGCCTCTACCAACTCTGTAACGCGGCAGGGCATCACTCCCCTGCACCTTGCAGCGCAGGAAGGAAACGTGGACATTGTGACGCTGCTGCTGGCTCGGGACGCTCCTATTCACATGGGCAATAAGGTGTTTTCCCTTTATTAGTGTGTAGATCTCTGGCTGACGTGCAATGACAGAAGATTAATGTTTGCAGTGTATTTGTGTCTGTGTTCCCTCGACACGTGTCTAACAGGCAGGGCCTTGATTTTACTTACACAAATAATATTTGTTTATCCAGAACTCTGTTATTTTGATGGTTATTTCTTTTTGTGCTTCATTACCGTGATGTGCAAACCTGTCATTTTGTCTTAAACGGCTTCCTTTCAAGCTGTCTCAGTCAAACTCTACTGTATTCAGCACTCTTCTGTCATTTGTGTATTTGACTGTATTTCTTTGTTTCTGTACCTTCAGTCTGGTTTGACTCCACTTCACCTGGCTGCCCAGGAGGATAAAGTCAATGTTGCTGAGGTCTTGTGCAACCAAGGAGCCTTCATAGATCCAGAGACCAAGGTAATGATAGCCTCCTCATGTCTTTGGATTAAAGTTATTTGCAAAGTGGATTTGCGTATCTTGCCACTTCACCGCTGTAAATTAAGTATCATTTGGGGTTTGGGCTTTGGTCTGTGCCAGTGCTCTCACTTTTTGTATTTTTGACAAGGCAGGTTCCCACAAAAGTGACACATTTCTAGTTTTAATAGGATAATTGAATAATTAAACACATGCCTTGTAATTTTTAAAAAGACATGATTTTAAAATGCCATCAAGAAGAGCAAAAATCCTGCCAGAACTTATTTAGACATTAACAGCTGCTGAATCATGTCCAGCCTTTGAGTCTTTTACAGAACTCGCACACGGACTGAAATGAACAAGAACAAAAATAAACGATATCGTTCTTTTATAGCCGCCCTTAAAGGCGCATAAACACTGTGTGATTTCAGCAGTCTTTAAAGTTAATTGCAGTCCACCCTGTCTAATATTGTTGCTTTATAAATATAAGATTGGTAATTGCGGGCTATGCTGTGCACAGCTGGAATACCTCTGCTATGTGTTTCCATGTCGTGACCTCCTTGGCTCGGAAATGGCAACAGCTGGAGGAAGCATCATACAAACAAAGCTTCTGCTGCTGCAAATTAACTAAATTTCCTTCTTTGTAGGAATTCAGACATTGAATTTTGCCTATTTTACCTCCTCTCGCTTCCATTTGCCTTTATTTTGGAAATATAGCTTTTACTTTGTGAGACAGTCAACTTGAATTTCAGATCTTATGAAACAGTGTTAGAGTGTCAACTTCAAACCGCACGGCAGAACAACTGTTTTGGGTTGCTTTGGACATGTTTCACGTGCAGCTGCTTAAATGTTCACAGTTTACACTCAGCTTAATTTTCAGACAAAATAAATGAGCTCTTGTCTCCAAGTGTGGGTACTGAAGCAGTCTGAACCAGGGTTTTAATAGTTTTGCAATTTTCATTAGTTTTTATTTTTATTTAGTTTTGACTTCAGATTTTCAATTGTATATAAGTTTTAATTAGTTTTTACCAATTGTTTGCTAGTTTAGTTTAGTTTTTA